CAGCCCCCGCTGTGAGATGGCTGAGCAGACCTTTAGCCGGGGCTGGGTGCTGTGAGAGGGGAGGCGGTCAGAGGGACTGAGTATGGGGGCCCTGCAGCATAACCGGGGGCTCTGCTGGCGCCGTGCCTGAGGCACTTGACTGCAAAACAGAAGGCGGGCAGTTCAAACCCACCAGCCGCTCCTCGGAAGCAAGACTGGACAATCTACTTCCATAGTGATACCGCCTCAGAAACCGAAGGAGGGGTCGCTATGAGTTGGATCCGACTCCATGGCAATGGTTGCGTTTGCGTTTGCACTATAACCAGGGACAAGTTGAAGGACTGAATGGGCTTTCAGGTCTGGGGAAGAGTCTGAGCAGAAACTTGAACGGGGTGGAGGGAGCTAGCAGGCAGTCACCTGGGGCAGGTGTGCCGGGGAAGGTGCAGTGAGTGCAAAGGCCCTGAGGTTGGAACTGCCCCGGGGCAGCTTTGTCAGGGGGCCTAGGGGCCAGGCCAGGGCCATCTCCATAAATCAGAGAGGGGTGGGGGGCAAGGGCAGCCTGTGAGGCCCCTCTGCTCCCACCCAGCCCTTTGAACACAGCCCTTCGTTCCTGTGACCCACGGTGTCAGCATCTGTGCAGTGGGGACTTGTGGGCACGGAGCTCGGTGTGTGAGCACTCGGCCGCCAGTCTCAGGCCTTGGCTCTGCCTCATTCGGACAGCCAGTCCCTTCTGGGAGGGACAGCTGGCAGGGCCACAGTGTCCTCGGGGAAGAACAAGGCTTTCTTGTTGGAGTCCCCGATGTACAAAGTGGCGGCAGCTGTGGTAGCGGGTGAGGCTGACACAAGGACTGGCCGCCAGACAAAGGACACAGGCGGGCGGCCCCTGGGGAGGTGGGCGAGGCGGGTCAGGGCGCCGGAGGGCTGACTGGGAGCAGACGCTGCAGGACCCGTGGCCGCTGCCGACTCCGCCCCCAGCGCTGCTGCCCGGGACCCTGACTCGCCTCCGAGGAGGACCCCGGACTTTCAGCCCCGAGATGTTTCTGAGAAGAGTGGGGGGAAGGTGGGAGGAGCGGGAGGGCCCTGTCTAGGGACCCTGGTCAGTAAGAGCAACAGTGTGGTGTCACCACAAGCCTCCTCGGCTCATTTCTTCAACACGGGCTTCTCGCGCACCTGCTCCGTGAGGGTGATACCCTGGGCCCCGGGTGCAATGGTGATGGGGGGACACTTTCTCTGCTGTATTCTTCCTCCCAGTGGGTGGCAGGTGGCAGCATGGCATCCCACACTCTTGCTGGCTGGCTGAGCATGGGTCCATGTGGGCAGGGGTCTGGCTGTGCTGGGTCCCCAGTGGCCAGCACACAGTAGGTGCTTGGTAAATGCTGAAGGAGGGGCAGATGGGAGGAGGCCTTCAGCTGCGGTGGCTGCATACGGCCCCCAAAGATTCCTGTCCTTGGAACCAGTGAACATGGTGCCTCATGCTGTAAAAGGGACCCTGCAGATGGGTGACATGAAGGGTCTGGAGGTGGGACGTGATGTCGGGCCAGCGGGGTGGCCCACGTGATCACAGGGGCTGTATCTGAGGGAGGCGGGAGGGTCAGAGCCTGGCCGACACCGCACAGGCTTCCCAGCCCCTCCCACCCCAGCGGGGCGTTTATTCTCTCCTATTCAGTGCAGCTGCAGGACCACATAGGGGACCAACCGTTTGCAAAGCTGCCGTCACCCCCAGTGCCCTGTGACTCAGCAGTTCCACTCCTGGCGGACACGCCCGCGGGGAGGTGTGTCCGTATATCCACCGAGGGCCGGCAGTCCCAATGACAGACCACCTGCAAACGCCTTGGTGCGTAAATTCACGGCATGGAGTGTGGTCCAGGAAGGCACACTGACCTGCAGCCGAGCCCGAGGGCGGGGGACGAAGGCCGCGGGAGATCTGCGCGGTTCACAGAGAGCGGTTACCTGCAGCACCGAGAGGCCTGCAGAGCCCTGCGTTAGTTGTCCCAGCGCGGCCCTGGGAGGGTGGGAAGGGCCGGAAGGGCTCCGTGGCACCCGCCTCACTCGCGGGTGGGCAGGAGCTGGCTGATGGCCGCGGGGCACGTGGTCGCTCTGTGAGTGCCCAGCTGTGGAAAGAAGTGCTGGTTGCCTGCCTCGAAATCAGGGTTTCTCCACTCGGCACCGCTGGCATTTGGGGCAGGGTCGACCTGGGGGAGGGGTGCAGTGCCAACCGCACCGCCGCCCCCCAGTCATGATAACCACGGGTAGGATCTCCCCGGCTGAGGACGACTGGTCTACACAGATTTCATTGCTGCCATACTTTCATAGCTGTATTACCAGCACACCCTCCGCGGCCCCTACCCTGCGGGCCCCATCAGCCCCCATGGACCAGTGCAGTCGCCTTCGTCCTGTTCTGCCCGCCGCTGCCAGAGGGCGCGCGTAAACACTGAGTAGGCCTGTCCCTGCTCTGCCGCTGCCTGTCCTCCCTGCGACCACCAGAGGGCGCCCGTGAGCACTGAGTCGGCCTGTCTGCCGTGCCACCTCCCTCCAGGGCCCCGGATGACCCACCCCGTTCCCTCTTCCGCCCCCTCCCCCACTCTCCTCCGCACGGGCTGCCTCGCTGTCCCTTCAACCCACCAGGTACGGTCCTGCCTCAGGTCCTTCGTACTTCGCACGGGCTGTTCCCTCCGCCTGCGACGCTCTTCCCCGAGATGCCTGCACACCTCCTTCCCCTCTTTCCGGTCTTTGCTGATTGTCACCTCCTGGTGAGGCTACTCCCCAAGTCCCCATTTCAAACTTCAAGCTCCCCACACCTCCAGTCCCCTTCGCCCCTGAGTTTTCCAGGTGGCACTGCTTGCCCTAAAGCAATGTCAAGTTTCCTTGTCTGCATCCCCAAGGCAAGCGAGGACAGGGACAGTAGCGTTGCGTCCACTCCTCTCCCCAGCACCTGAACGGAGGACACTGTTGAA